CGCGCGCTCTAATTTGTCCAACTAATTTTATTAATATCTCGAAATTTTACGTGGTTGTTTGAAAAATGACCTCTACAATTTTTGTTCAGTTTTATCTGTTCTACTTATATTTTTCTTTTGGCATGTCTTATGCGGGACACCCTGTATATTGGGATATCCAATGAACGTTCAATGGACATATAAAAGTAGCATCCGGATTTGTAATTTACAAGATAATTTTGTACTTTGTAAATTAAAAGGGTGTGTATGTGTGTGTGAACATATATACGCAGACAGCACAAAATATTTATAAAATATATATATATATATATATATTTTTTTTTTTATAAATATTTTGTGCTGTCTGAGTATATATGTTCACACACACATACACACCCTTTGAATTTACAAAGTACAAAATTATCTTGTAAATTACAAATCCGGATGCTACTTTTATATGTCCATTGAACGTCCACTGGATATCCTGTGGACATGTCGGGGACTTTAGCATGTCCTTTAATTTCATAAACGAATATCTCACAAATGTCCATTGAATGTGCGAAGGACGTAAAACGGATGGCTTATGGGTATCCTCAATATCTTTAAAGGACATCTTATGGATAGGATATCCATGTGTTGTCTGGGTCAATAGCATGTTCGACTGGTTCTAGGTTAACCCACTCTGGGTTATTCAGTCTACGTTTATTGGTCGAATAAGTACTTATAAGTTTTATGATTGGGTAGTAGAGATTTATGACGGCATTAATCGCTCTCGAAGCGATTAACCTAGGGCCAGTCGAACACGCTATAACTATAGATTTTCAGTACTGGCAGTGAATTTCGGAACGCACCTATATTGATTTGTAGAGTATGCTCATTGGTCGAAATGATCTTATGCTATATATATATATATATATATATATATATATATATGCATTTTGTGTATGATAGCCCTAAACCAGGTTGGCCACAACATGAGGGAAATATAGCGGTATGCCTAAAATGCGACCAAATGGCTGTCATCGCTTTTTATGACAGATGTTTTGCGTGATCTGTCTGCTTTGTTAATTTGTGCGCGAGTAAAGGCGGAAGTAAAGTTCTTATCTCGAGTCTCTCGTTGTGAGGTGCCACGCGTTTTTGTCAACGTCGACATCGTCGTTTGTAACAGCGCCCGTTCAAGGAAATCCATAGTGAGAGAAAAAAACAGAGTGAGAGAGCGAAGCACGGAAAGAAAGAGAACACGCTTCGTCAAATGTCTTGCGGACGAAGTGGTTAGATATCTCCCTGGGGGAAAGCGAAATAAAGAAGAAGAGAGAGAAGCAGAGTGAGAGGGAAAGCGAGAGCAAAAGCGAAAGAAAGAGACAAAAATACAGATAGACTCGGAGCCAGCTGGTCCTGTGGGTAAAGCCCATCGTGGGCTAAACGAGGAATTATTCGCTGGTGTCGATTGGTGGTATTGGTGAATAAATAAATAATATCACTTGATCAGTTAACAGTCGTACGTCGAGCTATCGAGAATGGCAAAAACGTATGACTATTTATTCAAATTGCTGCTGATCGGTGACTCCGGCGTGGGCAAGACTTGTGTGCTATTTCGTTTTTCTGAAGACGCGTTCAACACGACCTTCATCTCCACTATTGGTATGTGCACCTACACGGTCCCGTCCGTCTCGTATCACTAATCGTCCCGCGGTTTTCTTTGCCGCTACATCGCCACTGCGGGATGCGTCGCGCAGACTGGGGTGTGTCTCGGTTAGAATGTATCGTGCGCGCGGGCCGAATATCGTTCGATATTAGACAAAGAGCATATTATGCTGTGCTCCGCACAATAACATGATTCATCCTACAACGTATCGGTCGCTCACTCATATCTATTTCTCCGTATCTCTTTGAGTCTCTATATAGGTGCTTGACTTACTGTCTTATCGTACGTTACAGGTATTGACTTTAAGATTCGCACTATTGAATTGGATGGCAAGAAAATTAAACTGCAGATATGGTAAATACTACATGCACAGTGATACTTCCAATTCTGTTCTGTGTAGGTCATGTGCATTAAATGCAATGTGGACTTAGTATCATAAAGTTAGACTCAACTTTTGTATATCACTTGTGATATTTATACTGCTATTTGTAGGGATACTGCTGGACAAGAAAGGTTTCGTACCATTACCACGGCTTACTATCGTGGAGCAATGGGTATCATGTTGGTGTATGATGTCACAAATGACAAAAGTTTTGAAAACATTAAGAATTGGATTCGAAACATAGAGGAGAATGCATCTGCAGATGTGGAAAAAATGTTGTTAGGTAATAAGTGCGAGCTTACGGACAAGAGACAAGTTACTAAGGAAAGGGGCGAGCAATTAGCTGTTGAATATGGCATTAAATTTATGGAAACCTCGGCTAAATCTAGTATCAATGTGGAAGAGGCTTTTTATACCTTGGCTCGTGATATCAAAGCAAAAATGGAAAAGAAATTGGTGAGAAAATATATGAATTATATTGTACATACTTGTTTATGAAGTTAGGAGTAAAATTCTTTGCTTTCTCATCATTGATTGCCACATTTCAATATATAAGGTTTTCTCCACTTAAAGATTTACAATTGATAGGGTAATATAAATTATTAAGAAAAATGCTTAATATTGTCATAACATTATCAAGCATTATTTTTCACATGTACATTATTTTCACATTTACTATGGAATAATTAAAATTTCTCTGTTTCTTGTCTGTTTCTCTATGTTTGGTGCTGGTCTATCTTGGCAGAAGGTAACTGTTTTTGTTTTTAGTTAGCTCCTAATTATAACAATCTATAACAAACAGTAAAGTATTTTGTTGATAATATCACTGCATGTCATATTATCAATGAGTCTTTTATATTTTTATTAATTTATTTCCGACAAAGTAATGCATATATTTATTGTGTATATGTGCCTACTAAAAGAATGTTTTACACTTATCTTAAATATGTATTTTAATTCAGGACAATTCTCACAACCATAATCCATATCATTGATATTAAGCTTATACATGTTCTGCTAGTATAGTTATGTCATTACTTTGTTGCATTGTATTATATTAATGTGTAGCTTTAATCTAACTTTATATTACTTAGTTAACATTCTTTGTGATTAATAACTCTAACAAAATGTATATTAAGAAACCTCACGTTATGTACTTATTTGTACAGTATTTGCTTGCATTTATTAATATTCACTATATCCTAATTACTAAATTTAATTATTTGCTAGTAAGTTTCTGTATATTTGTCTTGAGCAAAGTATATTAGAGATTTGTTGTGAAATTAATATGAATTGCATCAAAGATATCTATTTTTATATTATGTCATATGTAATACTAATATTGTATTTTGTTTTACGTAGGAGGCATCGAATCCACCGAAAGGAGGTGGTCATCAGTTGAAAGCTTTGGAACCACAGAGGAAACCACCCAGTTGGCTCGCTCGTTGTACTGTACTCTGACCCCCCAAATATACGCAACTGTACAACGAGGAGCATCTATTTACTATCATTATTTACTTATGTTCATTTCGTCAAACAAATCGGGTGTTTTGTGAAACTTTTCACATCCCAATCGTTGAGTTTAGTGGGTTTACTCCTTGATAATGAAATATACCCGTCGTACTAAAAGCTCGGAAATTATCCACATAAATGCATTGTTTGCCGAAAAAACCCTCGGAGGAGAAAGTATTAGAATTTTTTATTTTATTATATAAGAAGCGTATTGTTTTAGTTAATACATAACGATTAGAATTTGCTGCTCGCTCTAATCTTGTTAAATTCGAAATGATTGAATAGATTCATGCGACAGTTTTGATAAGTAAGCCAATCGGGATCTTTGATAGGTACCCTTATTTATATTTTATTGTATCATTAAAGGAAATTTATGAAATCGGTCGTAAACCTCTCTTCACTATGATTCTATCCGTAATATATCGAAATTAGTGAATTTCTCCTCTGATTTTCTTATACAACTAAATGGATATGGTTGATTTTTCTTTTTAATTTTATTGGAGATAGTCAATATTAAGTATATAATTAGTGCGTGTTACTTAAAACTTTTGCAGCAATGGGATAATGTGTAAATTTCTCGTGCACAAAATTTTATATCGTTTCAATATGATTTACGATTGTGTGTTTCCGTTTAATTCGGAGGACCATGTGTTTAGAAATATATATATATATATATATATATATATATATATATATATATATATATATA